CTATATATATAGGCATATTTTTCCAAATATTGTATCTTCAATACCGTGTCCAGTATATACTACATATTTTATAATATATTCAAGTTATACATATACCCCATACTTATTACTAATTATTAAATTGGTCTATGTAGTAAGAATTTTTTAATCATATTATATTTTTGTAAATAATTTTATTCTCTTTATAAAATATAATATTTGTGTTTTTCTTTTATAATACAGTGATTAATTAAACTTAATGTACAAAATATGTGTTAAAAATAAATAATTTTAAATGAGGGTTGAAAAGGATTGGAATATTTTTTTATTATATATAGTCAATGTTGATGACTCTCGTGATTTGAAATAATGTTAGAACAAAAATTTGAAATATCAAACTTCAAAATTTCTGTCTGCTCTAAAATATTTTTACAATTTATGGTATCGAATTTAGAATGCATCATTATACCTTATATGCATATATTCCTTCTAGAAGTGTTATTGGAGTCGAGTTGAACACCTCATGATTAAGCTCGTGTATGTTAATAAATGTAGGCTATGTTTGGTAGACAAATAAGCTAGCTTATAACTTATTTGGTTAGCATATAAGCTCCATGTATTCAAATAAGCTCCGTTTGGTAGGAAGAGCTTTTTTAAAAATCTCGAGCTTATTTGATAAGCTTCTTTGGGTAGCATTTCAGATAAACTCATTGAAATTAATTTTATTTCAGCTAGCTTATCAGCTAATTTTATCAAACAATTTTATCATGTAAGCTAGCTTTTCAGCTATAAGTCATAAGCTTTAAGATATAAGTTCAAAAATTACTGATAAGCTATAAGTTAACTTATCAGCCAGTTTTACCAAACATAACTGTAATGGGGTTTGACTATTAAATAAACGAACAAAAATGCGAGCTTGTGCTTGATTCAATTATTAAGAAAATATCATAAGTTGCTCGAGTTTTCACGTGTCAATTCGAATTATAATCGCAAATAATTCGTTTCCAACAATAAGTCAACTCCCCTAAAAAAAATCTGGATCCGCCCCTGTATGAATCATTGTATCAATTATATCAATGACATGATGAAATCAAAATTGAGTATGGCCAAATCTACAACGGCAAATATTATAATTATATTACTATCCCATTGACAAATAAATACATGGGAGGGTAGTTGTGTAATTTCACCAAAACCAACTCAATGGGCCCCACCCATGAAGCATTGTCCATGATCCCCCTCTCTCTCTCTCTCTCTCTCTCTCTCTCTCTCACACACACACACACACACACACTACACACACAGCTCACACGGTCACCCGCTCGCCAACAGCTCACAGCCCCGCAGTAGAAGCATCCCACCACCGCAACAAGCCCGTCGGTCATGTCACCGCCATCGACAGACCACTGCCGCCACCGTCCGCCGATTCTGACAACTCATCCAGAGCTCACAGTGAGAGTTACCATGTCGACGACCACAACAATCACCACCGTCAAAAAACCTCCACCTCGCCTCTGCCTTTCGCTGCTTCGCTTCAGTCGTCCGGCCACAACAGCCTCGTCCCGCCTCCACCATCCGTCTCCGTTGTCCGCCACCTTCTCCCAGTCGCAGCAACTAGCCCGTCGAACTTACTTGGATGATGCAATTTGCTTCTACAATAATTAGTGCAAATCACCATCACCCCCATATTTCTTTTGATAAAATAATTCCTGATTAAGTGCTTATTTCATGGCTTTCTAGGCACTTTTACTCTCTCTAACCTTGGAATGTTTAGGGCGGACCGATTTTATGACATCTTCCAACTAGAAAATGGAAGTATATTGGCTTTTTATCATTAAAAATGCGTTTCCATACAAAGACGAATTTATTAGTAATATAATTGAAAATTTATTGCAAATGTTTTAAATGCAAGCGAAGTAGATAATTGCTTTTGAAAGAATCTATTGCTTTCATATGCTTTCTGGATAAATTGCTATGTAAAACGAAAAAAATTCATTTTATTTTTTGTAACTTTTATAATTGATAGAAAAATGGAAGCAATCATAATAATGAAAAGACAAAATCACATGTAACTTCCACATTGTCATTCAATAAACTCAAACTTCAGATCTGGTTTTTGATTGGTTCAATGCAACAGAAACGACTTGCTTGCCAAGAAAAAAGGAAACAAAGCTATTTATATGCACTACATTAGGGTAACAAAAATAAGAGATCTCCTTTAGTTAAGATGGTGAAAAGTGTCTCTCTTCTTCACTGTTGGATCATGCAATAAAGCTGAAGTAAGACCTGCATGCTTTTTGTCTTCTATCATCCTTAAAACATGCATGTGATCCACACAATTTTCCACATATTCAAGCTGACGTGCCCGAGGCTTTTCCACGTATGCATGGTTATGTTGACCAGATTTAACATCCCCTCTCAAGCCAAACCGGTTTTAGGAATAACTTGAAGCTGTGATCTAAAACGGGGTGAAGGATTGTGCCGTCAAAGCCTTAGTAAGAGCATCTGCAATTTGTTCACTTGAGGGAATGTGTTGAACTTTCAGCAAACCAGCATTTATTTTGTCTCTGACAAAATGTTGATCGATCTCTATATGTTTGGTTCTTGCATGTTGAATGGGATTAGAGGCTAGAGCTATTGCACTTAGATTATCAACCCAAATTATGGGAACTCTTGAAGCAATGATATTCAGCTCCTTCATCAAAGATTCTATCCAAGTAATTTCTGCAGTTGTGCTTGCTAAACTTCTATAATCGGCCTCTGTGCTGGATCTTGAGACCGAGTTTTGTTTCTTTGAACTCCAAGAGATCAGATTCTCACCCAGATAGACACAAGAACCAGTCATAGACCTTCTATCATCTAAATCTGCAGCCCAGTCAAAATCTGAGAATCCAGTTAGATTTAAGTTTGTAGTCTTTCCAAGAAAAAGACCATGGTTTGTGCTACCAGCTAAATACCTTAATATCCTTTTAACTGATTTCCAGTGAGTGTCCAAAGGATTAGCCATGAATTGACTTACTTTATTTACACTAAAAGAGATTTCTGGTCTGGTCATGGTCAAGTACTGCAAACCTCCCACAATACTTCTGTAAAAGGTAGGATTCATTCCTGTTGAACTACCATCAAATTTTGAGAGTTGAATAGAGCTGACCATCGGTGTTGGACACTCTTTAGCACTCTCCATTTTGGCTCTCCTCAAAAGATCTTTAATGTATTGTCCTTGATGCAAAAGCATCCCTGCTGAATTTCTGATTACTTCAATCCCAAGAAAAATGATGAATATCTCCAAGATCTTTCAAAGAGAACAATGTGCTGAGTTGAGAGACTAGATGATCAATCTCCTTAGGATTACTGCCTGTCAATAGGATATCATCAACATATACCAAGAAAAAGATTTGGTGGTTACCTTGAACTCTGAAAAACAAAGAGGTGTCTGCCCTTGAATTATTAAATATAAGACTCATCAGAATGGTTTTGAATTTATCAAACCATGCCCTTGACGCTTGTTTCAAGCCATAGATGGCTTTATTCAACTTGCAGACTAGAGAATCTGATTCCTTTTTAAAATCCAAAGGCTGTTTCATGTAGATATCTTCTTGTAGTTCACCATGCAAGAAGGAATTGTTTATATCTATGTGTTTTATTCTCCAGTCATGATGGACTGCCACAGTTAACATCAATCTGATGGTAGTTGGTTTTACAACTGGACTGAAAGTTTCATAAAAGTCTAGTCCAGCTGCTTGAGAAAAGCCTTGAGCCACAAGTCTAGCTTTGTGCTTTATAACAGTCCCATCTGTCCCCTTTTTCAATTTAAAAATCCACTTGCTTCCAACTAGGTTCTTGCCAGGTGGTAAGGGAACCAAAGTCCATGTCTTGTTCTTAACTAAAGCATTATACTCTTCATGCATGGCATTTTTCCAGTGTTCAAGTTTTAATGCCTCTTGGACACTCTTAGGCTCATCTTTCTTTTCATCAACAAGGAAAATCTTCTTAGGCTTCAAGTTACCTGTCTTTGATCTGGTGACCATAGGATGTCTGTTTTGAGGTTGATCAACTATCTCATCTTGATAATTTGTTTCATCAATGGGAAGGTTGACTGCCAATGGTACAGTGGAATAAGAATCACTGTTTGCAACACTTTGAGGGGTATGAGGCTGAGAGTGCCTTTGACTATGAGGTGTGAAATTGTTGAAATTAGAGGAAGTCCTTTCATTGTGTTCATGATCCCCATTGTCTTCATTTGATTTTCCAACCTTTCTTCTGTACTCATGATGTTCAAAGGCAGGTCCTTGAGTGAAAAATGGAGGACAAGTTTTCTGAGGATGCTCTTTACTGAGTTGAGCTTGATATGGAAAAATTTGCTCATCAAATACAACATTTCTTGTCACTATCACCTTCTTTGATGGTAGAAGGACCTTGTATCCTTTATAGTTGGAGCTATACCCAATGAAAACACTTGGCACTGCTCTAAACTCCAACTTATGTTTATTAATGGGCCTTATATGGGGGTAGCATCTGCAACCAAACACTTTCAAGGTGTTGTAATCTGCCTTTTTCTTGTACAGCCTTTCTAAAGGAGTTTTGAAGTCAATAACCTTACTGCAGAGTCTATTGATGATATGAACTGCAGTAGAAAAAGCATCATCCCAAAAGGTCAAGGGTAAGTTAGACTGAGCTAGAAGAGAGAGCCCCATCTCAACAATATTTCTATGTTTCATTTCAGTTACTCCATTTTGTTGGGGAGTGTAAGGACAAGAAATTCTGTGGTGTATCCCTTGCTCTTGTAAATGATCTTTCAAACTTTTATACTCAGTACCACCATCAGTTTGAAGAGCCTTGAGTTTGAAATTCAATTGGTTTTCAGCTGCAGCTTTAAAGTGCATGAAGGCTTCCCTAACTTGAGTTTTGTCCTTTAACAAATAAATCCATGTATATCTGCTGAAATGATCCACAAAGCTAACATAATAGATAAAACCATTTGTGGATTTTATAGGGGCAGGGCCCCACAAGTCACTATGCACCAATTCAAGAGGATGAGAAGCAATAAATATGGAATCTGAAAAAGGGAGCCTGTGGCTCTTTGCCGTAATGCAAGATGGACAAATAAAAGAGTCTTCATCTCTTTTATAAGAGATATTACAATCATCCAAAGTTTTCTCAAATTGTTATTGAAAGCAGTAAAATTAACATAATAATCTTCTTTTCTTGGCTGCATTGGAGTTGTTTGATTGTCTTTGTGAAGCTGAAAGCTAAAACGGTAGAGACCATCTTCAAGGGTTCCTCTGAGGAGTATTGTCTTGGTAACTTGATCCTTTACAAGACAAAAAGTGGGATGAAATTCAAAGAAGACTCCATTATCAGAGGCAAACTGAGATACACTGAGAAGATTCCTAGTTATAGTTGGCACATGCAATATATTTTTCAAGAGAAAAGCTTTAGAATCATAAGAAGATCTTAGAGTAGCATTACCAATGAGTGATGGGAACAACAGCTCCATTTCCCATTTGAAGCCTACTACTGCCAACATAATCAGATGCCATGTTGAGATTGCTAAGTTCATTTGTTACATGAGCTGTGGCACCTGAGTCTGGAAACCAGCTAGCCTCTAAGCCATTGTCCGAGTTTGTAGCATAATAAGGTCCATAATGTGGACCTATTTGAGCAAGGTTGATAGCAGGATTCCTAGGTTGACCTTGCTGTCCAAAACTAGAGTTGCTTTGGTTGACATTTTGATTCCTATGCCAACATCTATCTGCAGTGTGCCCAGGGATATGACAGATTTGACAAATTGGTTTAGCATTGTTGTATCTTCCTCCTCTTCCTCTAGAATATCTACCAAAACGGCCACCTCTTGCATTTTGGAAATTTCTGAAACCACCTCTATTTTCTTGAAAGTTATTTTGGAAACCAGTGTTGAAGCTCATGTTTTGCTGGCTTTGAGTGGCTGAGTTTATGGATGGTTGAGATCCTTTGTAATTCAAGGTTGTCCCAGCTGTGTTGTTGGTTTCCATTCTAGCCTCATAGCTTAAGAGTAGAGCTTGTAACTCAGCCAAAGTGCAGGGTTTAACCCTTGAAGTCACACTCACAACAACAACATCATATTCACTTGGCAGGCCACTTAAAACATGAAGAATTTGATCTTTTTCTGGAATAATATGACCCGCAGGAGCCAATACATCACAGTAGCTCTTCATTTTGCTAAGATATTCTTTCATGGCTATACCAATTTTCTTTAAGGATTGCAACAAGATTTTATACTGCATAATCTTTGCTTGGGACTCTGTGGAAAAATTGTTCTCAAGGGCTAGCCAGATTTGTTTTGAAGATTCTAACCCAACAGTCAAAATGAGAATGCTTTCACTGAGGGAAGATAACATCCAAGAAGCAAGAATCTGATCTTGCCTTTACCAAGTTGAGAAATCTGGATTTACCTCAATATTGCCTTCCTGGTTTGAGATGAACTTTTCTGGGGCTCTTCCATTTTTGTCAATGAAGGATTCTAAGCCATAGCCCTTGATGGTGGTGAGAGCTTGTTGCTTCCAAATGAGGTAGTTTGACTCCTCTAACTTGACAGAGATGAGCTGGTTCACAGGATAGACTATTTGAGGTTGAACTTTGACGATGTGATCGTGGTCAGGGCCTGTGTTGGTGGAACTTTCTTCTGCCATGGAGGAAGCTTAAGGAAAAATAAAATAAAAATAAAAAAAAAAGAAGAGATGAGGATATCAGAGTCAAGTATATACCTGCTCTGATACCATGATAGAAAAATGGAAGCAATCATAATAATGAAAAGACAAAATCACATGTAACTTCCACATTGCCATTCAATAAACTCAAACTTCAGATCTGGTTTTTAATTTGTTCAATGCAACAGAAACGGCTTGCTTGCCAAGGAAAAAGGAAACAAAGCTATTTATATGCACTACATTAAGGTAACAAAAATATGAGATCTCCTTTAGTTAAGATGGTGACAAGTGTCTCTCTTCTTCACTGTTGGATCATGTAATAAAGCTGAAGTAAGACCTGCATGCTTTTTGTCTTCTATCATCCTTAAACCATGCATGTGATCCACACAATTTTCCACATATTCAAGCTGACATGCCCGAGGCTTTTCCACGTGTGCATGGTTATGTTGACCAGATTTAACAATAATCATTTCCTACATACATTTATAAACTTCATTTTATCTGCTTAAATGCATAAGCTGGACTTTGATATTTTTTATGAGCTAAAAATGACTTTGTAAAGGCAAAAAATGAGGGTAGATTTTGTAAACATGTGGAGGTTTACAAGTACTTATTTTTTAATTACGGGCCGAAATTTTTTAAAATATCATGAATATCATGAAAAATCGTGAGTTAGGGATTTTGTGTTATATTTGCACATACATCTTTTTTATTTTTCAGTTAATAATAATAACGTTATACCTTGCAAAAGATCTCCATTATCCGTGGCAAATGAATTGAAACACATCAAAGCAATAATATAAAACAATTAGCATGGGCGTTGCGTGCAATAGTTTTGAGTTAATATAACCGGGATAATATGGTATACCATACCAATATATTAGGTCATGTATGACCTAAGAATAGTTCGATCGGTTCGAGTGACCCGATAGGTCCATCAAACATCAAGGAGATTAGGGGTCGTGAAAGCACCAGCTCGATGTTGACCTCATAGACGAATCAGTCTGACAATAGGTCGGGCTAGGGCTCTCGGATAACCTGATGGAAAATTGACCTAGAAGACAAATAGGTCGAGTAGGACCTAAGAGGCCAACTTACTCGTTTAAGGTCAACGACCTAGCTCAAGGGAAATCGAACTAATAACACAATAATTCTTAAATAGTCATGTAACGAAGTCTGATCAGGAGAGGAAAGAAGAAGAAAAGCTTGCGTACTTTCAAAGTGAGATACAAGTAAAACGCTGGGCAGAAAAAGGGAACTCTCATGAACCCTATGGCCGTGAATCTTGCTGATACCACCGGTGATAATCTGACTGAACATAATTCCTCCTGACCTACATTCCCAGGAATTTCTGGATTTACTTAAAGTTATTCATACCAAATTAGTTGATCCATGAACACTGAAGAAACCTAGGTTTCATAATTAGACGAAGATGCCTTCTGATGGGCCTTCAGAGATCTTCAAGCAGATGGAGACCCAACGAACGAAGCGAAGCAAAGTTCAATCATAGAAAAGCTTGAGGTGAGACTTTAACCAAGACTAGGCCACATGTTGAACTCTCCCCTGACGAAGAAGGTGATGGTAGTGACACTGATGATGATTATGTTGATTTTTTTCTGGTATTGAACCATACAAACAAAGCGAAGCGTAGTAAAGTCAAAAATAGTAGTACGATGTAAACAACACCACATAAAGGATAAGTATGAATACAATTAGGAAAAGAGGGGCAAGTGGATAGGACCATGTGACCAACAGAATTGGGCAGTTCGGGTACGCGAGTAGTACGATCAGGTAGTTCGGGCAACAGGGCAACCAGATCGAACAATTTTAAGTAACAAGATAACACGTCTATATAAAAGGATGTGGTATGATCACCCCAACTCTACACACTCCAAATACTATTGACTTATTTACCTACAGTTCATCATCATCCTGTTTACTGGCTTAAGTATCAGAGGTTACAGAACGACCGTCGACTCTGTTTTGCAAACTATTCACCAGCTCATGAATGGTTCGAAATACACGTTTAATCGGGTCGAGGTCGTTTGCTCTACCAACCAACGAGAGAATATATATAAATAGACTTTATATATATTTATAGAATAAATAAAAAATGGAAAATCATCCATCAGCTGCCGCGTGTACCATCAATATCACAACCGTCTCACTAAAAGCGCGACATTTGTAATAACTTGAAAAATGACAACTAATTATTAATTTAACCATTATTACAACAATAGATGACGTCATAAAAACCTCTAACCAAAAAACCAACTCCACCAACCTGCGACTGCGAGCTTCTTCTATTGTAATCAAGACAATAATCATCAATGGGTTCGATAATTAGAAAGGATGCGTTTGGCGTCAACTATGATTACTCCTTCAAGCTGCTGCTAATTGGCGACTCGGCCGTTGGGAAGAGCAGCCTTTTGCTCTCTTTCATCTCTCACTGTCCTCACCACCTCTCCCCAACTATTGGTCCGTAGTAGATACATAATACTAT